TATATATATATATATATATATATATATATTATATGTTGTGGGACCAACCAGGCTATTAGACAAAATCCTTGGTGTTTAGTCGTGTATAAGTCTAAAATTTCATTCATAAGGCACTTAAAAGGGACTTAAAATGTTAAATCTTGTGAAAATCTGTAGAAACCCTTATTTAAAGTGAGCTATATATAGTTGAAGTCAGAATTATTAGCCCCCTGTATATTTTCCCCCAATTTCTGTTTTACAGAGATTTTTTCAACACATTTCTAAACATAATAGTTTTAATAACTCATCTCTACTAACTGATTTATTTTATCTTTGCCATGATGACAATAAATAATACTTTACTTGATATTTTTCAAGACACCTCTAAATATGAAGTGACATTTAAAGGCTTAACTAGGTTAATTAGGATAACTAGGCAGGTCATTGGATAGGGATGGTTTGTTCTGTAGACTATCCAAAAAAATATTGCTTAAGGGGGCTAATAATATTGACCTTAAAATAGTTTTAAATCATAAAAAATGCTTTTATTCTAGCCGAAATAACAAAATAAGACTTTCTCCAGAAGAAACAAATATTGTAGAAAATACTGGGAAAATTTTCTTGCTCTGTTAAACACGATTTAGGAAATATTTGAAACAAATTCATGTGTCTTCTGTGGTACACATGGGACAATAAAATGCCAAATAGTTTGCATACCTTCACACACCCAGCCCACACACACAATATGTGCATTGTAATGTTGCTTCTCCAGTAATAATAGGGCAGTAGGTAATATTGAAGTTTTGGATTAGTCTCTCATCAGGGTGTTTTGCGAGCTATTGAAGGAAGGTGGGATGTGTTTTCAGAGCTCTTTCTGCTGCTAATCTACTCTATTATTAAAGTCCTGTTCAAGGAAAGTCTGTATATAATTGGCACCCATATTTGCAGTGCCTCAGGGCAGGTATTTTGGTATGCAATGCCTGACCAGCTGTGTTTCCTGATTGGTTTTGTCCATGTTGTCATTACAAACATGCGTAAATCCTCTGCCGTGTCCTCATGGTATTGTAAAGTATCTACTAAATGTGCACTTCAGGATCTCAGTGAAAGATGTACATGCTGTTTTCAAGTAATATGAAGTAGCACATACTATTATAGCAGGAGTCACCAATCTCATTCCTGGAGGTTCTATGCCCTGCAGGGTTTAGCGCCAACTTGCCTCAACACACCTGCTCGAGTGTTTCAAGTATACCTAGTAAGAGCTTGATTAGCTTGTTTAGGTGTGTTTGATTAAGGTTGGAGTTAAAATCTGAAGGACACCAGATTTCCAGGAACATGTTTGGTGATCCAAGTAATATAGCATGAAATTCTGTGATTTTGGACACAACCAAGTCATCTATACCTGTATAAAATCCTTAAATCCCAAAAACTCACTTGTAAACTAATAATTATATTGCATTTTCTTTTCAAATCTGCACCATAATCTAAAATGAACTGTCCCAATTGCAAAATGGTTGTCCTATGACCAAATATAACATCAAAAAAGTGATATTCTAGGGTGAAACTGCCATTGTGCATATATTTTAAGCTCTGTGATGACCTGAATTGGATAGTTCACCCCAGTAAAATGTACTATTCACTTACCCACAAGTAGTTCTAAACGCATACATACATTGAGGGACTTCTACAGAGTGTAAACATCTTGATATTTCTGTGGGTCTCGTCTATCAAAGCTGATCTTTACTTTGGATTCTCTATTGGATTCAAGTCAGGTGATTGGCTGGGCCATTCCACAGCTTGATTTTCTTTCTCTGAAAGCATTTGAGATTTTTCTTGGCTGTGTTTTGGATCATTGTCTTGCTGAAATGTCCACCCTGGTTTCATCTTCATCATCCTGCTAATGTGGATGTTGGACTGAAGCAGCGAATATTAATTTACAATGTTGAAGATCAGAGAGGTGCTGAAGAACTACTGAGAGATTTCAGCTGCTGTCTGGGCTTTCCATGCCTTTCTACACCTCCCTTTCTTCTTGTGTTCAATTCTTTCTCCTTGTGTGTAATTTTATTACACAGAACTTTATTTGTAAACCAATTTGATTTGTTTTCTTTGCATATATATTGATTTCTTTAGCTGTTACCAACATCTGGGGAAAATTTTGAGTAAGAAGATAAGATATTTTGAAGATTGTTGAAAATCTTACATAAGTACACTGAAAAAAATAGTTCAGAGATGATTCCTTGGATTTACTAAATTCTTTTACGTTAAGTGGTTGTAAACAATTTATTTGTGTTGAATTTAAACAAACAAATTAAGTTGAACATTATTAAACTTAATTTGTTTGTTTAAATTCAACACAAATAAATTGTTTGCAACAGTTCTGCATGCAACACTTTTTTCAGTGTATGAGGAGCAGCAAATCCAACACAATCTCACGGCAATTCGTAACTTTTTGCTTTAGTGGCTAATTAGTATGAATTCTAATTAAATTGTATGAATTCTAATTAAAAGTATGAATTCTAATTATCTAATTCGTACATTTTAGTACGATTTGCTCATCCCCCAATGACGGTTGGGTTTAGGGGTGGGGTTAGGTGCCACGCCTCCTTTTCAAAATCGTACAATTTGTACGAATTAGCCACTAAACTGGCAAAACTTAAAATACTTACGTTTTCTCGTGAGATCAGGCTGGCAAATACTATGGAAGTCAGTTTTTACCAATTTCCGAATATCTTCTTTTGGGTTTATTTTTGGGTGGACTCACTTTAAGCTGCACTGTTGTTTTGACTGTTGCAGCACCCTGTTTTCACCCTAGCAGCAGTTACTCAGTACTCTTGAATTGTTTGTGAAGCGACTGCCTTGAATTATTCAGCATGGTGACATGTGGTGCGCTCTAATCAGTGATTAATTTTTTAAAAATTGCATTATTGTTTCACATCTTTTGCCTTTATTCTCCACTACAGTTTCCATTCTCCTGAAAATAGTCTGTTGACATCTTTGTTCAACGAAGCCCATCTCTCAGAAATATTCTATGAGTTCTGACTTGTTCCCATTCACTACAAGCTCATGAATCAGGCCTGGGGCAGGATTGTTGTCAATTTTAAGGTTGGCTTTCTCACAAAACTAAGAGAAAGCTCATTGTAGTGCCTGGTTCGTAGTGCCTGACAACTGCTTGTTGGTTCTAAGTAGTGAATTCTGTAAAAGAAAATAACTCCCTTTGAATTGAACAGTCATTATACACTTACTGGCCACTTTATTAGGTACACCTTACTAGTACCAGGTTGGACCCCATTTTGTCTTCAGAACTGCCTTAATCCTTCATGGCATAGATTTAACAAGGTACTGGAAATATTCCTCAGAGATTTTGGTCCATATAGACAGGATAGCATCAGAAAGTTGCTGCAGATTTGTCGGCTGCTCATCCATAATGCGAATCTCCTGTTCCACTACATCCCAAAGGTGCTCTATTGGATTGAAATCTTGTGACTGTGGACTAAAGTACCTATAGCAGTTAACAATTGGCTCTATTAGCTGGAAAGCAGGACTTCTCCCATACAGAGTAATATGAGAGCACCATGTTTATAATTCTGCCGTAAGCTATTTGTGGTTTGTTTTCATCGAAATAAGCTATGCTTGGTTTCTGGTGTCATTTCCTTTGGTGTCGTTTTTTTTAAGTAATCCATAAGGCAGTTTACATACATCTCTGCAATGACTCAAATCACTCAATAATAAAGTCATCTGGAATGGCAATGAAAGCATTCTTGCAGGACTCCCAGAGTTTATCAAGATCCTTTAGATTCATCTTCAATGCCTCCTCCTCCATCTTACCCCAGGCATGCTCAATACTGTTCATATCTGGTGACTGGGCTGGCCAATACAGGAGCACCTTCAGCTTCTTTGCTGTTGATGTTGCCATCCACTCTGCAGATCTCTCGCACGTCCCCATCCTGTAACCCCAAACCATGATTTCTCCTTCATCAAACTTGACTGATTTCTGTCAATTTTGTGAATCTTCGTTGTTTGGTCTGACACTTGCTTTATATTGTATCTCAGCCAGGCAGTGAAGATGGCTGTTTTATAAAGAAATCCGATCTTAAACGCTGCGATTTTGTATGGGATGACGATTAAAGACTGACAGAAACGAACAGTCTCTGTGCATATACACCCCCTAAACCCCTCTGTAATTCGCACCCTGCTTAAATTGCTTTAACATCCTCGCACCACAGATTTGTTTTATGAATAATGCTGAAAGCTGTCAGCGCACATGCTTACGTTCACAGAATAGCCTACAGACGCGACGTGACGTCCACACACAGCACTTTTTGCTTCCCCAAAACAACCACTTCCTCACCACAGTGGAAGAAGCTTAACCATCAGTTTACAGAGCAAACGGCGCAAGACATCAAAATAGAGCATTTAATAAAATGAAATACTTAAAGGTTACAAAAAAAAAAAAAAAAACAATAATAAATTAAAATATTGCAGCTTAACATTGAGGTAAAGTTGGTTTTATATTCGTTCATTTTTGAACAGTGACAACAGGGTGCCATACATTGTTCACCGTGCTACTCTGAATAGAGTATGGCTAAAGCAACATTAGAAATGATTCATTGATTGAACAATCGATAGCCATTGGCTACTAATACGGTTTCCTTATTTAGAATTTGCAAAATACATTTCTGAAATTATATTATTAAGGAAAAACTGTGAATGTGTGAATATAAAACGCTCATACCTTTACAAAAATCTTTGAAATGCGTATGCAAATTATTTGGGAAAGGGATGATGTGTGTATCAGGTAATCTTGCGATCACGTGACATCATGTCTGCACGGTCTGCACTCTCACTCATTTCAGCAGGAAATTACTGCGTAAATACTGTTATTTTGGTTTGTTTTGAACGTTGAAACCCCAAAACTCTTTTATTGGCTTACGCACACGCTTCATGACTTTGGTGATTGCACAGGTGTGTTGGTTGATAAGCACCAATCACAGTCAGAAAGGTGTTGCTGATGGAAAAGGGGTGAGGCCGCGTCTTGTTTTATCACTTGAGTCTGCTGACAGTAGGAAACAGCACACGGCGGTGGAGGTGCTGCTGTGGTGGCTACAACTAGCTTTCCTCTCGTTGAGGAAGACGTTTGGACTAAGAATGTTAATAGATGTTCACAAGGTAAGTCACACTTTGTTTTCCCTCACTAATGCTCTAATGCTTTTAATTAAATAGAAAAATGAACGCGTGGTGTAAATTAAAGTTATATTTAAGCGTGTTGTTAATGGTACATTCGATATAAGTTCACGTGTTCAGATTTCTAACATTGTTACTATCCAAATAAGATGGATAAAGTGGTGTTAATAAAGTTTTAAACCGCATTTTTATACATCTAGCTTTTATAAATGTAGTTAACGGTTTTTGTTTTGTTGGTTGTGTGAGATTAATTTCGCCTCAATGCAATTATTAGCGCCGTTTATTTACTAGTTTCTGTATGTTATAGATCTGTTTCAGCAATGAGCTAAAAGGATGTGTCTCGACCTGGTGGGCTGCTGTTTTTTTCTTTTCTTTCTGTTTTGAAACCCCAGACCTTCCCAGAAATGCAGAGGTCTTAGTAGTTCAAAGGGCTGTGGACTGAATATACAGCAGTCAGCTTTCCTTTTACTTTATGCTAATATCTAGACCTCTTTTTACTTTTTATTTATTTATGTATGTACGTATTTATTTATTTATTCATTTATAGATAATTTGGTGCAAACTGTTCCACATTCAAAATTGAGTTTACTAAGATCCTCCCGTCTATTGAAACCTACAATCATATTTTGAATGAGTATGTATGAGAGGCAAGGCAAGGCAAGTTTATTTATATAGCACATTTCATACACAATGGCAATTCAAAGTGCTTTACATAAACAAGAATAAAAGAAACAAGTAAAATAAAAATAAAAACAAATAATAAAAATGCGTAAAAACAAAACAAAACATAAAAACAGGTAAAATGTGATTATAAAAGAATGAAGGAGAAGAGAAAAACATGATAGTGCAATCTGTCGGACGCAGCACAGTGCTCATTCAGTAAAGGCACAGCTAAACAGATGTGTTTTTAGTCTTGATTTGAATGTGCCTAATGTTGGAGCACATCTGATCATTTCTGGAAGCTGAAGAGCGCAAACCTTTTATCTTTAAGCATGGGATATATGTATATATATATATATATATATATATATATATATATATATGAATATTTTTTTACTCTGTCATCTGTTATGATGTACTAGGAAACTACTATTTATTAGGGTAGAATGTTTATAAAAGTGTTTAAAAGGGGAAAAAAAAGCAGAAATCGGACATTTAGTATACAACGAATGCTATTCACTTTTTCAATAAATTAATTTACAAAAAAGAAAGACTTATTTACTAGAAATGTGTATATACAGTAGTATATTATACAAGTTACAGACATAATTTCCATTGGAAAAAAAACACCTCTTTTTAAAGATGTTTACAACTCTGAATTTAAACTAATTCTGTAATTTAATTTTATAAATAAAGCCCTTGTCAGCTTACTTTTTATAGATGTAATCAATTAAAACTACTATTGCTGCATACCATAAATGTAGTTTTTGCTGTGTACTTTAAATAGAGCATCAATAGGTTAAACTTTAACGCAAGCCGCCTATTCATAATCCACCTAGCATTAAAAAAAATGCATGAGGAGTTTCTACAGAGGTCTACACAGATCTTGTGTTCACTTTATCTCAGTTCTGATTGATTGTATTGCGTGTCCCTGAGTTCAGTTTACTCCCACGGGAATGAAATGTACTGTACTTCAGTCTAGCGCATGCGCTGTCTAATTAATCACCCGAGACCTTTTTTTTTTTTTCCCTAATAATTGAGAGGTTGTTTAATTTTAGATCCACATTCAAAAATTAAAGTCTGCTAATGTATGTAAACATTAAATAGCACAAATCTCCAGCCGAGTTCTAGTCGTATTTAAATGGAGCTATTATGCAAAAATTACTTTAAGGAATTTAAACACTGTTGTGATGCAACACTGAGAATGTTTACATTATCCTATATTTTAATAAGGTTAACACAATACTCTGATTAAGTCTACCATGTAAACAGGGATTTTTGATGACCTGGGGGGGGGTTCCGTGTGCAATTAAAACTACACTTTCAGCAGTTCATACTCCTATCCAAAATCTCTGTGTGTCACAGGGACCACGGATGAAATTTTCTTAGATAAAAGTGTAAGTTACTAACTTCGAATAAGGCAAGTAATTGTATTACTGACATTCATGTAAACGTAGTCAGTGAGTGTGTTTACATGGACAACAATAATCCGATTTTAATACAATTAAATAAAACAGACTCTGCCGTGTAAACATCTTTGATTAAACCGATTATGGTCATAATCTAAACAGAAATCGAATTAAGACATCTGGAATATGCCGATTTTAGTTGCATTATTATAGTGCAGTACAGACATGTAAACAGTGCAATCAAACTATTACCGTCATGTGAGATTTTCACTGCGTTTTGCGACTGTATAGTCTATGCACAGCTGTTGGACACTATTTTCTGCACCTGCCGAGTCAGTGAAGGACCAGACGTATGCATTTGTTGTGCGCTATCCAATTCCATTAAAACAACACTCTTCCAGCAGTTTATACTCTCATCCAATACCTCCATTTGTCATGGCCAGCATGAATGAAAATTAACGTGCTGAACTGCAGTCAAAGTCAACAAATTAAGAATCAAACACCCCAATTTACATGAAACTCCGAAGGAAACGTTTATGTGCTATGCGTTTGTTAAGTTGTGACATATGATGGTATTAGGTACGAATATGTATGTTGTGATCATGATTTTCAAAAGTACATTATTACATTGCTTTGTTTATTATAATCATTTGGTGAGTCTCCCCATACAGTTTGATAGAGCGCTTGGACCTGGAAGCCGCCTCGCATGACGTCACACTTAACAAGCGGATAGCATGCAAAACAGGAACATTTAAGAAGCAACTCAAGTAAACAGCTTAATCATATTATTGTCTTATTCAGATTAAGGCAAATAATTTGATTATTGATGTCCATGTAAATGTAGTCAGACTGTGAATAAAACCAGCATCTAATTGTAAAAATTACTTAATTTAATTTTTTTAATAATTACACTTGATAAACAGTTCTGCAAAAACGCTTTGACACTCCCTTGGTACATGTCAACAAAGGGGGAAGCCCCGCCCACTAGTGATGATCTCTCACTCATTAGCATAAGACGTCTTGTTTTTGAATCTGCCACTATGCTGACACACAGGCATTTGTAGCTCCGCCCTCTTTTGAAAGAGCGCAATCTCATTTGAATTTAAAGCGACAGTCACCAAAATGGTGCAATTAAGATCAAAGCCTGAAAGAGGTATGAAACATTATTTGTGTGGTATTTTGAGCTTAAACTTAACATACACACTCATCAGAGACCTATTTTACATCTTAATAAAAGAACCATTTTATAGGGGACCTTTTATGCCCCGTTAACGCAAAAATGAAACTTTTTCTGTTATTCACGCTTATGTTCTACCTTTGCCCTTGCCAAAACACTAAAGTTGATTTTAAGATTAAACCGATAGTTCAGCCAAAAATGAAAATGTTCTTCTCGTTTACTCTTCACTTTGTCAAACCAGTTGAGTTTCTTTTTTTGCTGGTTGATTTATTTTGATTGCTGGTGCCCATTGACTTCTATAGTGTTTTTTCCCCATGTAGAAATCAGTGGGTGCCAGCAACCGGCATTCGAAATGTCCTCTTTTGTGTTCAACAGAAGAAAGAAGAAAAGGTTTAAAACCACACAAGGGAGTTTTTGGGTAAACAATCTCATTTAAATGATTTATTTTAAACCTTTTCAGTGTTTCACTTTCAGCAAGTTGTTTATGCGTTCCTCCTGAAGCAATAAAAGCATGCCGTTTTGTAAATGAGTAGAACAGAATTCACACTTGGGTTTTGTTTTTGAGAACTCATGAAAGTTTCACACAACCAATGCTCTTCCCACACGCAAACCACAGATACTTGAGCTCTTCAGATCAGTGTGGTGTTTTCGAAGTGCTGTGTGAAATGCTTGTTACAATTTGATTCAAAATAAAAGCAACTAGCTACAACTAGCTCGTGTTTTTCGAGTCTTCTGACAGATTCAGCTGATGTTGTGTTATGCCATGTAAATGTGTGTGTGTTGTTTTTTCACTAGCCTCTATTTCCTTGTATTTGTTAGGCTCACGGCTGAACTCGACACCACTGGGGATACAATAAACGTAATTACATGGAAGAAGCATCCAACAAGATGTTTGTCATGGCTGTGAATAGCAAATGTTGAGGTCAGCCATCATTGATCCCCAAGGATGAACAAATGAAGAGACAGCGCTGCGCTTCAGAGGTTAATTCTGTTGTGTGAATCCTCACCATTTCCTGTATTGCCCAACATCCTTTCTTGCGCTTCAAGAGTGAGCTTCTCTTAGCACGGTTGTAAAATGGGAAAGAAGTACATGAAGTTCCTCATCGTGGCGCTAGCTAGCAGCCTTTGCTTTATTTTGTTCTATTCCAAACTAGTGGACGTGGAAATAACCGCCAAAGATAAAATCACATCAGTCACGGCTTCCATTCCCAGAAAGCCGACAACAGCTTTAGTAAGCACTATCAAGAAACAAACCAAAGGTGTTGCACCATTCAAACTTCCACCGCTGACTATTTCCAACGATTTCAGAAAGAGCGTCCCCAAAAACGGCGCCTTCTGGAATCGAAAACTCCATTCCTTTCTGAGGCAGCTGGACTCCGCTGACAATACAACAGACCCGCGGAAGAAGTTTCACTGCAGTCCGGAGAGTTTTGAGTTGCTAAAGATGAACATTCAGGATGTTAATACATACCCTCCGCTCTATGGAGACTTCCTTCGAGGAATGGAGTGTCGAGACTCGCCGCTAGTTATTAATCAACCGGACAAGTGTGCGTTGGATAATGAAGATGATCGCATCTTTCTACTCTTTGCAATCAAATCCACGCCAAAGCACTTCGAGAGGCGTCAAGCTGTCCGGGAGACCTGGGGCAGAGAAGGAGAGTATGATGGACTCAAGGTACGAACCGTCTTCCTGCTAGGTCGTTCGTCTTTAGACGACCCAAATCTGGACAAACTCATTTTGTCGGAGTCTCAGCATTTCCAAGACCTTCTCGTTTGGGATTTCCACGACTCCTTTTACAACCTGACTCTTAAGGAACACGTGTTTTTCAAGTGGATGCTGGGACACTGTCCTCGTGTGTCCTTCATTTTTAAGGGGGACGATGATGTTTTTGCTAACCCCCAAGCAATAATCAATCATCTGACATCTCTGGAGCCAGAGCAGGCTTCATCGTTGTACACTGGGCAGATCATTTCTGAGGCCACACCATTACGAGATCCGAAAACTAAATATTGTGTACCCCTGACTTTCTATGAAGGTGCTTACCCTCCGTATGCTGGTGGTGGGGGGTTCCTCTTTTCTGGGGAACTTCTCCCATACCTTTACCATGTTTCCTTTTACATCCCCTTCTTTCCTATTGATGACGTCTACACTGGGATGTGCTTTAAAGCACTTGGAATCAGTCCGATGAAACATGATGGGTTTAGGACCTTTGATATTCGGGAGCAAGACCGAGAGAACCCATGCGTGCACAAACACCTGCTACTGGTGCACCGGCGCAGCCCTCAGCAGACCATGAGGCTCTGGAGGAGCATGCACAGCTCCATGCTCACCTGCTGATCTGCTTGCTATGCAGGGATGCGTTTCCCAAATCATAGTGAAACTCCTGGATGGACTGCTATAGAACAATGTAGTGACAAGTGTTTCTCAAAACTGGGAAATTTGGGAATTATTTGCTCTGACACTGATCCATTGTTTGAACCATGTCATTTTAAAATTTTTAGATTAGATTCAACTGTATTGTCATACACATGTACAATGCAACGAAATGCAGTTAAGGTCTAACCAGCAGTGCAATAGCTGCAAGTGCAGGATACTGGTATAAGTTATAAAGTGCAGTTATAGAAAAACTATTGTGATATTCACCGTAAATATCACTGTAAAATGTCCGCAATGACACTCTAAACAGGGTGGAGTTTTCTTTTGGAGAAATTATATTGTTTTACACACTTATAAATCCAATATTATCGTTGGCAAAATCTTGCATTTGTTTTCCATATGAATTGAAATGTATGTGAATGGCACATATCAGGCCTGCATTTCATTTACAAACACTGAGAATATTCCATATTTGTTTTCAAAAACATGAAACCGTTTTCAAAAAGTCAACACCTATTCTGATCTCATACACTCAAAAATGATGTTTGCTGTTTGTTCAAACTACTTATTTAAAATAAGCTGAAGCAACACAATACTTAAGTTTTTTATGACCACTGTTTTATGTTTAATCCACTTAATTTTGTATATACTAATAAGTTAACTTAATTTCTTCATGTTGTCCCAACACAAATCGACTGAGTGGAACCCAGCATTTATTATAGTGAGTGAAAGTCAGATATTTGGTCAATTGATGATGTAAAAACTACTTTTACTTGTTTGTTGCATATAATAAGACTTTATTTCAATTCAGAAATCATTAGAGCCATTGTAACCTGTTCTGATTATGCCATGTGTAGTACAGATACATTATTTTTAATAAGCCTACTATAAATTAAAACCTAACTTATACTCTATTTTTTTTGTTTCCGCAAGTTTTAAAGATGTGTTATAGATTCTTCTAGAGGTGTAGTTCAAACGCACAAGTTTACGATGCAGTTTGCAAATGTTTGCTGGAGCGATTGATTCTGGAAACCCAAATCAATGAACTACATGTTTCTAACAACAAAACTCAGGACCTTTATTGTCCAATGATGGTTTTTGGAAACGCACCCCTGCTTCATAAACTTCGATGTTCAGCTATTGAGCAGTTGGAGAAGAATAAACTTGGGGCGAGCACAATGCTGATCATGGAAATATCTTCTAAAGAGCTTTTCTCAGACTCTGGATGAAGAGCTTTTTGGTTTGTTTTCAGGTATCTTGAAAGAACTTGACTTTGTTTCGTTAAATATTGGTCTCAAAAGGGAGAAAGTGGTTTAAAAACCATTGGATGATGTTTTGTGCAATATTTTTTGAGCTGTTCATAAGTTAAAGTGGTAGTTCATTTGAAAATGAAAGTCCAGTCATATATGCGTCCTCTGCTTGTTTCAAATGAAGTTTCTTTGCTGAATGCAAAAAAAAAAAAGGAAATGAAATACTGTATGCTTGGATCCAACCAGTTATTAACGTTTTTGTTTGTGACAAGTGAAAGGTCATTAGCTGATGACAGAGTTTTCATTTCAGAGCTTTGCCACAGTCACACTAAAGTTCAAGCATGTAAAGTTTTGTCATACGGCGTTGTGAAAAGGGGCAGACATTTATTAAAAGCGAGCTTCATATTTTAAAATATCGTTCCGGAGAGGTCTGTTTTGATATTCGATTGGTCTCACACAGTCACATGATGTGACTTCGCAGGTCAGATTTCACCGTGCGTGAACTTTGCAATGCATCGAACTGCAAAACTTGCCGCACAAGCTTTCGTTTCTGGTCTGGCACTAGAGTTAGGCAAGATACTTAAGATTAAGTGAGCTAAGTTATTAGCTAGTCTACTTAAAATGTAGCTTAACTACACTAAAAGCTTTCCCTGGGAAATGTAGCAAGCTAAGCTACTTTTGCCAAGTTTTGCCATATAAGCTATTTTTGCAATTTTCAATTTCAAATCGAAGAACTTAAATCCAAGTCAATCACATCTTAGTCATCAGTAAAACTGTCAATGAATCATGGGGCAGAATTGCTCCGTTCAGTTATTTACTGTTAATAGGATGCTGGACCAAACAGAAACAAACTTTAGTATATAACAGCAAAAACCAAACATCCAATAGAGCCAGGTGTTACACATTTTAAATACTATAGCAATTTATAGTAAAGGGAATTTTAAAAGGAATAAGTCTTGTATTATAATGATATTTACAGCTTCTCATTAATGAATTGCATTACATAATGTAGTATAACTATCATGAACTAAGAGCAATAACCATAGTATACTACTGTCTATATATATATAAACAAATTAATTTGAGTGCTTCACAATTGTGTAGTTAAAAAAACATTAGAGTACTTACTATATATTACAGCAGTATTTTTTGAGCACAGCATCAGAATTAAGGTTATTGCGTTTTAACGTGCTTCTCCGGTTATGGGAATCCTCCTTCAGAAATAACTACTCTTCCTTGATTCTTTTTACAATAAGCAAATTCTTCATCTTAGCCTAATTGGATGGCAAAGTCACGACTAGAGCGAGAGGTGGCAGTAATGCACCATAAAGTTTTTGTCGACCACCGAAAAACAGGAAGAAGATGAAATCATCATTATCGCCATCATATGGATTTACTTTCATCGGCAAGACATCGGCCTTAACGCTCTGTGAATGTCGGTGCTGTCACTCATTGATCCGTGATTGGTAAATGTAGCTTGTGAGGAAGCTACTGCACTACTTTACTAGTAAAAAAATTGCTCGCTACTGAAAAGCTATTTAATGTTGAAATGACGCTGCTGCCTTACACCGCCTGTCACATTTACGTGCGCATGAATATAAATCTATATGGTGAAAAGTGCAGTGTGACCGTGGCTTAACTATTGACTGTTACCATCAACTCTTTTGTTTGCAACAAGTTGAAGGACATTGACTGATGACAGAATTTTCGTTTCAGAGTTACACTGTACAAATGTATTATTATTATATATTGCTGCCTTAAATTAAGTTAAATTAAACGGATTTAACAGCATTAAATCAAAACAGACAAACTTCATGTTCCATTGTCTTCAGACATCATTTAAGTCAGGGGTGTCCACACTCGGTCCTAGAGCGCCGGTGTCCTGGAGAGTTTAGCACCAATCCTAATCAAGCACACCTGAACCAGCTAATCAAGCTCTTGCTAGATATACTAGAAACGTCCTGGCAGGTGTGTAGAAACAAGTTAAAGCTAAACTCAGCAGGACGCCGGCTCCCCAGGACCGAGTTTGGACATCTCTGATTTATTCTTTAAGGTACATAAAAATATACGCTGTGATTTCACTGTCCACATGTTTTGTACTGTGTAAGAGAGGTTCACAAAGTAGTAATATTCTGTGCAAGTGAGCTGGCAAGTACTGCTCTGTTTTGCAGAAACTGATATTTTGAAGAATGTTCAGTCTGTTTCTGTAAATTATGAAAGTGAATTGGGTCTTATGGTGTTTCCACAACTTGAAGGTTTGATGTGATTAAACAAACTCTAATGCCATTGCTCTATATAATTCTTTTGCATGCACATCAAAAAAGTGTCTTGCTGTGGCAGACAACTTATTTAGATTGGTGTGAAACTGCTGACGCTCTTGTGACTTGTTAGAATTTTTTTAAGCGTTTCACAAGTTCTACATATAAATTTTGCTTTTATAATGTATGCAGGGTGACACGCTGGCTCAGTGATTAGCACTTTCGCCTCACAGCAAGTTTGAATCGCTGGTTCGAGTTCCGGCTGGGTCAGTAGGCATTTCTGTGCGGAGTTTGCGTGTTCTCCTCGTGTTGAGTTTCCTCTGGGTGTTCCAGTTTCTCCAATAGTCCAAAGATATAGGTAAACTGGTTAAACTAAATAGGCCGTTTTAATGTGAGGGTGTATAGGTGTTTTCCAGTACTCTGTTGCAGCTGGAAGGGCATTCGCTGTGGAAAGCATATTCTAGATAAGTTGGCAGTTCATTCCGCTGTGGCGACACCCGTTGAATAAACGGACTAAGCCACAGGAAAATTAATGATGATCTAACCCTAACCCTTTCTCAGCCAGGGCTTAAACCAGTGACCTTCATGCTGTGAGGCGGCAACCCTACCCACTGCGCCACCGTGACGCCCTATGTGATTATTAGTGTTGAATTTTTTAAAATACTTCTTGCAGGGTTTCCTCTGGGTTTTAAAGTCTTAAAAAGTTTCAAATTTAAACATAAAAAATGTTAAGCCTTAAAAAGTCTTAAATGCCAATGTCAATGTAACTCTACATCTAATGCTCACTTTAATTCTTTTTGTTGTTTGGTTTTTGTGATGTTGTAGATGTTGTATTTTACTAGTCCAATTGTAATTTGCAGTATTACAGCTACAAATGAAACCAACATGCAATGGCCAATCAGCTTTCTGTTATTGAACTCGTTGCGCGCAGCGAATATGGTGTTACTGCAGTTTGCGGAGGCTCGCTTTGAGTGCACACAACGTGATTTTGGCTGGCGGATTGCAGGAATGAGACTCGAGCGAACAGCGCCTCGTTTCGTTTGAGTTGAATATGAAACACTGAAGAGATTTTGTCTGAAACAGTACGACTGTACAGACGCCATTATGATCTGTTCATGCGTGATTACGGGGAAAACCAGATGAACAGTAATTCTTAGATAGAAATTGTAACAGCAGTAGGAAAGGAGGAAAGCTTTTGTTAAGTTTGAAAAAACTTGAGGCATAAGCTTGTTAAAGCCAAAAGAGGTCATGACAAGTGACCCATGTACACAATTACAGGTGCCAGGCGAAAGTATAGATGTTTTTTTTTTTTGTAGTTAAATGGTGCATCTAACCTGTCTTCAGTGCTGTTCATGTTGAATACATTTATTTGCCACTAATTTTTTTTTTTTTTTTTTTGCATTTTCTCTTTGTTTATGTGGGTTTTTGATATTGTAATATAGGTCTTAAATTTAATACTTAATGGTCCTAAAGTCTTAAATTCGACATTATGATATCTGCAGAAACCCTGTTTTGGTTTGGCATTGCAGTATGAACCCCAATCTAACAGTACCAAATTTTGTAATTTATTCTGGACAAGATTAAATAAACTATAACTGAGCATAACTAAAGCACATAAAAAGTGTTGTCAGGATATTCCTTGTTAAATCAAATCATAAACCTTACTTATAAAAGGTGTAGTTGACTTCTTTAGTGATGCGCTCTACACGCCTTCAATTCATTCAAAACCTGTTTAACCTGCTTGGGGAGAACGTTTCAGATTAAAAAAAAAAAATATATATATATATATATTAATCATGCTGCATTGTGTTCAGCTTAGGCCAGTTGTTGTTACCATTCTTCAAATATTTTATGTGTTACACACAAGCCTTTTTGGCTTTGACCAACATGACTAAGCAAAATGTATTTTTTTTAATATTGTGATCACTCATTCTGAGTCATCATGCCCTTTGATACTGTGGTGAACTATTTCAAGCTGGTCATGTGAATTCAACACGATGACGAAGCAGAAACTGCCTGGTTTAAAAATGGCTTTTAAAAGCTGCTCTCCATACTGAGCTATACACCTATTCTGATGACCCTCCATAGATTCCCTGCAAAGTTTGGTTGAAATTTTATTGAGATGAACAAACCAGTAGACTTCAGTTATTTAGGATTCATTTGTGCTGCCGCTCATGTCTTATTTGAAAGTTGTAATGTTTTGGTCACACGGTGGCTCAGTGGTTTGGTGTTAGAACAAGGGGTGAGGATGGGAGTTTCATATTGAGTTACTCCCTAAGAAAGTAACTAGTTACATTACTTAGTTACTTTTTGTAGTATGTAATGCATCACGTTACGTTAAATAGAGTTCCGTTTTAAATTGTTAATTAATTAAACCAAAAAGTAACTCAAATGTTGATCTTTTTTTTTAACGTAACGCACTACTTTACTCGTTACTTACGAAAGTATTGTTACTATGCTTGTAATGTGTTACACCTAAAGCTGCGGTCACATTAGAGCTTGAGCATGCGATACTCTGTTGGGGTGGGATTAAACAAGCTTATTAGACCTTTTTAAAAGAGCGATTGCTCAATGTTTTAAATTTCTGTCCAGAGATGTCATGTTTTGATCCTCGATTGGTCTCACGCAGTCAAGTGATGCGATTTTTATTTATTTTTTTCCCCGCAGGTCAGAGTTCACCAAGCTTGAACTTTGCAAGTTTCTGCAAAACTTGATGCATGACCCTGCATTTCCTGTCTGACGCATTCACGTGCGTATGAATGGAAGTCTATGGGAGGAAAAGCCCAGTGTGACCGCAGCTTAACACTGTTTGTGACATTAGATTGATGTTTGAACAAGGAGCGAGGTGGTGAGGATGGTAGTTTCATATTGAGTTACTCCACAAAGCAGTAACTAATTTCTTAGTTACTTTTTATAGTACACAATGCATTACCTTACTTTTTGTGTTACTTTTTCTGACCTGGTTGAGGCTTGATCTCTTTCAGAACTTTGAGGGGGTTTATTCTCTATTTTAGTTTTACATAGAGGAGCTCTACAATTAACAATGGACAGTTTCACCTTTATTTACCTTTAATAAAAACTCATCTCTATTAAGACAATCCACTTTTACTTTTCTTCTTCCATGTGTTGAAAATGATGCGAATATGTCCATCACTGAAATGTAAGGCTCTACTATTTTCGTTTCTGTCTGTTGCTTGATTTAATCTGACTACGTTATATTTTATTCAGCAATTTAGTTTCTAAAAGCAAAGTAAAAAGTAACTCAAATTTTAATACTTCAATTGTTTATGTAGTGCACTACTTTAAAAAGTAATTTTATACTTGTGATGTGTACCCAACAGTATTTGTGACATGAGATTGGTGTTTGAACAAGGAGTGAGGATGGTAGTTTTATTTATTCTCGTGTTTCCTGGATTGTTCTGAGAAACGTCTTTCATCAGTCTTGTGATTAAAAGATTGGCATGTCTGCCATTGTTATCTGTGATGCTTTGTTGTGCCTGTCCTGGCATTGCCTATTACATTTAGCGATGCATGTTAAAAATGAAATACCAAACGAACAGCACATTTTATGTATATATTCAAAACTGAGACTAGCATGCACAGAACATTCATTTCAAGTTTATTTGTACAGTGATTTTTGCATTAATTATTGTTTCACAAAAAGTGCACATTACTGCATTACAATCAAACGAGGTTATTTGAGAAATTGCTGCCTTTCTAACAGCTGGAACCAGTCTGGCCATTCTCCTCTGGTATCAACAAGGCATTTGCGTCTACAGAACTGCCGCTCACTGGATATTTTCTCTTTTTCGGACCATTCTCTGTAAACCCTAGAGATGGTCTGTGCGTGAACGTCCCATTAGATCAGCAGTTTCTGAAATACACAGACCAGCTCATCTGGCACCAACGACCATGCCACGTTCAGTCACTTAAATCCCCTTTCTTCCCCATTCTGATGCTCAGTTTGAACTGCAGCAGATCGTCTTGATCATGTCTACATGCCTAAATGCATCGAGTTGCTGCCATGTGCTGATTAGAAATTTGCGTTACGAGCAGAAGGGCAGGTGTACCTAATAAAGTGGCCTGTGAGTAAGCAACATCCAAGTGTACTTGTTTAACGATTTCATATTTGCAGATTGTTATATCATTTACAGAATACACATGTATTCATGATGAATAATATTCGTTGTTTTACATTTTAAGATACGTTGTCATTTTTATATCTAAATAGTGCCTAATTAACCACTCAACATGCTGATTGTGTGTTTTAACAGGGATTTCAGAGGACTGACAGTTTTATTGTTTGCTCTTGAAAACAAAGAAGGCAGAAGCACAGAGCTCTCAGCTATGAGGAAGCTGGCGAGGAAACATGTAATTATTACGACATGTGTAGACTAGTTAGTGGCATGTCGCATAACTTTCAAGAAGCTTTCATGGTTCCAAGAAGAATGGCAATTGATTGCATTTTTGGTTTGCCTTCTTACTTTCAGCAGCACATTCTTCAGAAGTATTGTACATCACTGATCTGTTTTGACCATATTTTGGTGATAGGCATCTGTGAGTTATCTGGTAACAGTATCGGCAGCTCGTCCTCCAGTTCCTCAACATTTCATGGTGGTTGTGGTGATGACGTGCAAACCTGCTTTGCCTATTGCAAACACGCAATGCTTGATTGGGATCATGTCAGGTGAATTTGGAGGCCTGTGGTTGCTTCATCACACAAATGTGATCCAGGGCTGTTTAAAGGTACATGAAGTAATGTGCAGTTTTGTATTTAATGTTTAATGTAATCTCAACTACAACAAGACACAGTCAGACATATTGTAGCTCCTCCCCTTTAAAAAAAAAACAGTCAATAGCCTTTAGTTTTTTAGCTCAGCTCTGCCAATGAGAGTGGTTGAGCTCAAGCGCATCAAATGAGAAGCATCTTGAAGGGGCGGGGCATGTCAGTGTAACAGGTATGAAAATTATAATTCGCTTCAAATATAGAATTACACAAAATATGTATTTTATCTAATGTGTTAGTAA